TTCGGTGAGGTAGCCGCGTACACCTATACTATTGAATTCCAAAAGAGAGGCCTTCCGCACGCACATCTTTTATTAATTTTGAAATCCCGATTTAAAATGTACACACCTGAGGAATATGATAAAGTTGTGAGCGCTGAGATTCCCGATCGAAAAATGAACCCCCATTTGTTTAACATGGTGGTCAAATTACAACTCTTTGAATTTTACCTTCATTCAAAATTTGGTGTGACCTTTTAGGTTCACAATTAATACTAGTAGTGGGTTTACAACTCTTTGTAATTTGAGTTATTCATATTAACTCTTATTCTTGAATTAACTCTTTAATTCAAGAACCCACATATCATGGGAACATCTAGCAAGTAGCATGAATCTAGTATTAAGTGAATAGCGAGTAAACCTATTTCGATTACAAGTCCATACATGTAAAATCCTTTCGACATCCAATTTCTCTATTAAATCTTTGGGTATGATTTTGTCGAAACCCAAATTGATTTAATAACTATGATTCCATTTCAAGTTTAGTAATTCGTTTATGAATCTCTATTCATCCCGCCTTGGCCAAGGACTTTGAATTACTAACTATGAAACACATAGGAAATTCACTTATCTTCATAAGTGTCGAATCCTTTGTTGGCCACTAACAAACTTCCATACATATTAATATAATACCAAAAATATCCCTTTTATACGATTGTGCTAGCAATCAAAAAAATAAATCAAAGTAAAATATAATATGCACAAAGTTACCATCGTGCCTCAAGTCTAAGGATTAATCATGTACTATTGTAACATGAAAATTCTTATTCGACATGATAAACTTTCATTAAGAATTTTCATACGGTCATATTCAGTGAACTTGTTCTCTAACAAGCACCCACATATATGTATTTGCGTCCCACGCTAATGTTGATGGAATGCAACATTCTTATCCAATAAGCATACATACTATGTGCAAGTCTTTCCCGGATTTAGTCGATATCCCATCTAGAAACATCCAACGACTTGGAACTGTATTTAA